CAAGCAGGGGGAGTGGGAGAGGGAGAAGCAGGCTCCCAACTCAGCAGGGAGCCTGATGCGGGACTCGATCCCAGGACCCTGAGATCATGACCTGAGCCGAAGGCAGACGCTTAACTGACTGAGCCACCCAGGCGCCTCTCGACTGTTCAATACTCTTACCGGTATTCATGGAATCTATGAACAGTCACCTACATAAGCTGATCACAGTTTTCTCCACCCTCCCATACCACACCACTCAGAGCTGCGAGCTGTGGGCTACCCAGCATCACGTGAACAGAACACAGGTCATTAAAGATAATGCGATCTCATCGGATAATCTGTTGAATTCTTTGGGCCTCAGTCTAAGCTACTGTCATGACAATTTGTTTTTCCAAGAGGCATCTAACAGGCTGTGGTCAGTAAATAATCCAAGCAAACCACAGGTTTCATTCAGAAGCTTAAAAAAAAAAAGTACCACAAACAGGCCGGCGCTCCTGTGGGCTGGGCATCAGCCTTTGTCCGTCTGCTGGTGCACGCTGCTGTGGTGTTCAACAAGAGCCCATGGAAGAATCATAAGAAGAGGCGGTGATTAGGTCCCTAAGGCAGGCATGATATGTTTTCATTTCCAAGAGCTATCTTGCTGGACTGTCAAGGAAGATATGCCCAGAATATAGCATATTTCAATGTGATGACTGAAGCCCACCACAAATATGACCATTCTGAGGCCAAAGGATCCTCAAGCTAGGATTTCCAGAATTCTTTCAGAAGAGAGAAGCTGGAACAAAAATCCCCAGATTTTAGGACACTACAGAAAGATTCACCTGGAATGAGACAGAGGATCCATGAGTGTCAGGAATGTGGAAAATCCCACAAGCAAAAAGGCAGTCTAACCTTGCATGACAGAATCCACATTGCCAAAGGCCCTTTGAGTGTACCTACTGTGGAAACAGCTTCAGGGCCAAAGGCAGTCTTGTTAAACATCAGTGAATACTCACAGGAGAGAAGCCACATCAATGCAAGGACTGTGGGAAAAACTTCAGTCAACGAGGGAGTCTGGCCATTCATGAAAAACTCCACACTGGACAGAAACCCTTTGAGTGTGTTATTTGTCAGAGAAGCTTCAGTTATCAAAGTAACCTTGCTGTCTATCATAGAAAAGTTCACAATGGTGAAAAGCCCTATAGATGTGATCGGCGTGGAAAAGCCTTCAGTCAGAAAGGAGGTTTCATTGTTCACATCAGAGTCCATACAGGCTTGAAACATTATGCCTGTACACAGTGCAGGAAGAGTTTCCACACCAGGGGGAACTGAATCCTACCTGGCAAAATCCACACAGGAGAGACACCCTACCTGTGTGGCCCGTGTGGGGAAAGCTTCACTCAGACAAGGAGTCTGGCTGTGCACTGGCGAAGCTGCTCTCAAAGACACACCCTCTGACCACTCCCTTCTTCTTCTTCTTCTTCTTCTTTTTTTTAAGATTTTATTTATTTGAGAGACAGAGACAGAGCACGAGCACGGGGAGCGGCAGGCTGAGGGAGAAGCAGGCTCCCTGCTGAGCAAGGAGCCCGATGCGGGACTCGATCCCAGGACCCTGAGATCATGACCTGAGCCGGAGGCAGATGCTTAACCAACTTAGCCACCCAGGAACCCCCTGACCACTCTCTTCAAAGTAAGTTCTCTTTATAAATTAAAAGTACAAAATCCTCACATCAAGCAACCTATCCAATTCCATGGAATGAATGGAGACTCTTTCAGAAAGACCATCACTGGGTAGGACAAACTGACTTTTCTCCTTTCCCCCAAATGAATATGAAAAATAAATGTCGTTTACTATAAAAAATAAAATTTAAAAAAATTTAAAATACCACAAATAGCAGATAAGCAACTATTTCTCTAACTGCAGGTAATAAAATACACATTTACCCTGAAGAAAAAATACCATGCCACAAAATTTACTTGAAATGGATGACTACAGGTTCCTAGGATGGGTGGTTTTTTATACTTTTTCTCCCATCAAACTTCGAACTCTTGACTCCTATGACAGACAATATGCTTTCCCTCTTCCTGTGAAATATCAGTAGTTGCTCAAAATATCCTCAACAGAGACAGGAAGTCACATGAAGTCCTAAAATCACTCAAATGCTTTTCTGCTTAATCATTCTACAGTCAGATTTTTTTCTAAGCATTTAAACATGATTGTATCGTTTTACTTCTCAAGTGTTCCAGAGAATCTAACAGTATTTCAGTATGTGCAGTTACATTAGATATAAGCCACAATTTTCAAATCTATGTTTTAGGGGTACATACCAAAATTCTTTGAGAAAAAAAATTTCAACATAAAAATAACTAGATCCATGGCAAACACAAATAACTACCATTTACTATCTTTACTCTCAGGATATGAGCATATTAACTCCTAAACTGTGGTCAATTTAAATCAAAATTAGAAGTCACTACTGGAGACAAAATTAAACTAGAAACTCAATTAAAGGAAAACAAAGCCAGTTATCATGCTTTAGAAAATCTCAGATTTGTAAGTTCTCATTCATTCATTCGGTATTTATTTCTTGAGTGCCTGGGTCCTTGGGATACCAATATAAACAGAAAACAGTGTTGGCCACTGATAGAGAGTGAAACGGGGACAAGTAATTCTAGTGAAGAGTAATAAGTGCTTTAAGAGGTTTCTACAAAATGCTGTGGGAACAGATAAAATGCCCTCTTGCAAACTCATGTACAAATAAGAACACTGATGAATTCTGCCGGCTAACGAGCGGGTCAACAAACAGGAAAGAGGGAACACTTAATGCTCTCTGAACTCCCCCATCTATTTATGATCAATCCCAAACAAGCCATGTAATCTCACTGTGCCTTGGTTTACAAAGCTATCAAATGTCCAATGAGCGCTAATGAGGGACTGTCTCGCAGGAATACTGTGAGCAACAAAACCTTGTGAAGTGGACTCTTATTTGCCATATTCTAAGTTAAGCAGCTTATTTTTTTTAAGATTTATTTATTTGAGAGAGAGGGAGCAAGCGAGCAGGGGGAGGTGCAGATGGAGAGAGAGAGAATTTCAAGCATAGAGCCCGACACAGGGCTAGATCCCAGGACCCTGAACTGAAACCAAGAGTTGGCTGCTTAACAGACTGAGCCACCCAGGCGCCCCAAACAGCTTATTTATAAAAAGGTAAATATGGTTAATTGGTAACTACCAAGTACAAACTTAGCCCTGACTTAAAATTTAATCAGCTGTGAAATGAAGGTGCAGCATAGGTATTTTCTACTACCTCAACTAGAGAGCCAACCCCTTTTGGGGTGGTTCTTCTGGGCAAGTCTCCCACAGAGAAGGGCAAAACCTTCCTGTCCTGTTTTTACCTCTTGTCATACTTTACAATATTACTTCTCCCCTTCGAGGGTATGTGACAGCTATACCTAAAACCCTCTAGTTCCTTAACAATCTTTAGGAGTACCTACTACGTGTCAGGCACTATCCTAAGCGCTGGGGAGATGAACATGAATGACATACAAAGTTTCTAGACTTCCATGGAGCCTAAATTCTGGTCAGGGGAAAATGGACAATGAAGAAGTAAATAACTGAGAAGAATGTTTTAAGTAGTGTAGAGGGCTAGGAAACAAAACAAAATAGGGTGATGTGATAGTGCCTGGGGAGGTGACAGGGAAAGGGTCCCCGAGGAGGTGACGTTTGAGCCAAGGCTCAAATGACTATAAGGCGCCAATCATGCAAAGACATAGGGGCAGAACATTCCAAGCAGAAGAAACAGCAAATCCCAAGGTGCAGCTGAGTCTGGGGTTTAGGACACAGCATGGAAGCCAGTGTAGCTGAGTGGAGGGAGAGGAGCTCCGAGAGCATGCGGGCTTCCCCAAGAGGGAAGGAATTCAGAGTTTCCTCTGAACGCGATGGGAAGCCCTATTAGATAGCAGTGTGTTGGTTTTGGTCACTGCCAAATCTATAGCACCAAGAACACAGCCTGGCACAGAGTAGACACTCAGCATATTTACTGAATGAACTGGAGGGTGTTAAATACAGCTGTTACAGGTTCTCTAGGCTAAATAAACGTCGTGGTTTCTTTACTCCCTTTATGCCATCAGTCTGAGTTTCCCAATCTATAACAGATGACAGTAAATAACCCCCCTTAGAGAATTAACACAAGTGCAGTTGATGTAGAACAGATACTCTCTCATAAACTCTACCTTGCCTGAGAACAGGCAAAGAAAAGAAGATATAATTACGAAGACAATGGTTAAAAGAAGAAAAAGGTACGCTTGACTTGCATGTTAACTCTTGAAATTCATCCTCCCTTCCCAGGAAGTTTAAAAAAAGAGGGGGTGTGGAGTGGGGAATTAATCTGTTACATCAAGGGATGCCTGAGTGGCTCAGGTGGTTAAGCGTCTGCCTTCGGCTCAGGTCATGATCTCATGGTCCCGGGATCGAGTCCCACATTGGGCTCCCTGCTCAGCGGGGAGCCTGTTTCTCCCTCTGCCTGTCGCTCCCCCGCTTTGTGCTCACTCCCTCTCTCTGACAAAATCTTAAAAAAAAAAATCTGTTACATCAGAGCGTGGGCACAGAACTACTAACTTTTTTATACAAACTTAAAAGTACCCAAATCAAGACATTTTGAACTAGGAGCATGAATTCCTTTAACAAAAATTTAAGTAAACAAATAGTGAATGGATAAAATGTGGTATATCCATAAAACAATATTTTAGCCATGAGAAGCAATGAACTACAACATGGTGAGCCTTAAAACATAATTTATGTGGAAAAGGCCAGACACACAAAAAACTCTGCTATATGAGAGCATTTATACAAAATGTCCAGGAAAGGCGTAGGACAGAAGACAGATCAGTGATTGCCTGGGGCTGGAGGTGGGAGTGGAAATGACTTGCCAAATGTAAGAGGGAACTTCTTGGGGTGATAGAAATATTCTAAAACTGGATTGTAGTGACTGCATAACTCTATACATTTATTAAAAGTCATTGGGGTGCGTGGATGGCTCAGTCAGTTAACAGTCGGCCTTTGGCTCAGGTCATGATCCCAGGGTCCTGGGATCAAGCCCCACCTTGGGCTCCCTGCTCAGGAGGGAGCCTGCTTCTCCCTCTCCCTCTGCCCCCACCCTGTTCTTGCTCTCTCTCTCTCTCTCAAATAAATAAAATCTCTAAAAAAAAAAATCACTAAACTGTACACTTACAATGGATACATATATTATGCCTCCATAAAGCTGTTTAAAAACAAAATACAGGGGCGCCTGGGTGGCTCAGGTGGTTAGGTGTCTGCTTTCGGCTCAGGTCATGATCCTGGAGTCCCGGGATCGAGTCCCACACTGGGCTCCCTGCTCAGCGGGGAGTCTGCTTCTCCCTCTCCCTCTGCCCCTAGCCCACTCCTTCTCTCTCTTGCTCTCTCACTCAAATAAACAAACAAACAAACACAGAGGGCTGCCTGGGTGGCTCAGTCGGTTAAACATCTGCCTTTGTCTCAGGTTGTGATGCTGGGATTGAGCTGGGATCCAAGTCCCACATCGGGCTCCCTGCTCTGCGGGGTGCCTGCTTCTCCCTTTGCCTCTGCCTCCCATCTCTCGTCTCTCTCTCTCTCTCCCTCTCTCTCTCTCATGAATGAATAAATAAAATCTTAAAAAAATATATTCTTTGCCCAAACTCCTGGGCCCTTAGATGGGCTCTAAGACATTCTGGTAATTCTGCTTAAAGATTTCATGAAAGCAATACTATGAGTGAGAAGATGTGATCTAGTAACAGGCTTTTCAACATTAGACTCAGGCTCAGGCAGTAGTCAATCTTTCCTCCCTCTGAATCCCACAGTAGGACAGGGTGATCTGCGTCCTCGACCAGAAATTCCTGAGCCCCAGGAGCCTACACAAAGTTCTCAAGGCTGGAGAGATACCAGCTTTGATATCTGTAAGGTATCTTACGTTTGCAAAAAGAACCTAATGTCATACTAATTAGCCAGGCCCAGGGACTGACCGCTGGAGAAAACTCTCCCAACATTGCAAAAACAAAACCACCAGTGTGGTGCCAATGGTTTTATGTGGAGCCAGCATCAACAGATCTACATTTTAGGCGCACCATTCTGTCACAGTGTGGAGGACAGACCTCGGGAGAGATGGACTAGTGGCAGGGACAGCGTGGACGTGGCGTGGCAGCGGTGTGACAGTCCAGGGGAAGGAGATGCCGGCCTGCCTGAGGCTGTGCAGGACACCAGGGTTGGAGAGAGGAAGGGGGAGGCTGAAACCGCAGACATGAAATCTGACGGGCGGATGGATGGTTTAATGCATTCCCAAGCCTCAGAAGTAAAAGCACACTTACTCTGCCCTCTCACAACCGAGAGCAGCGAGCAGGGAGAGCGGTGTTCGCACCCGCCACGACCTGCTAAGATGTGACTACTGACCCTGGCCGCGAGCAAAGTGGGGGCCGCAGCCGGATCCAGCTTCTCACCAGAACTGTGAGGCAATCTGCATTTCCCTGAGCAAAATCTATCATGCTGGAAAAGATCTCCATATTCAGACAAGGTCTCCAAAGAGAATTTTTAACATGACGCGAACATCTGGAGTCTTCTCAATCTTGAGGCACAAAAAATAACAGATCTTTTCTGCTCACAGCTACTATCCCATCAATCAAGGTACAGAGAGGTCATAGTAAATAACAGCGCCCCCGGAGCTCAAGAACCGCCCAGATGATGCACAAATGCCCAATGTAAGGGCAATGTCACCACCAGACTCACATATTTGGGGGTTCTAAGTCACTGGTAAGAAGACTGAGAAAAACAGATGAAATCAACTTATTAGAAAGGGTATATTTGTATGTTGTTTGTGTAAACATAAAATGGTAATGGGTATCTGGACCATAATTTGGCTGTATATTACAAGTTTAAATGTTTATATCTTCCTCTAGGCAGAAATTTCATTTCTGCGGAAAACAATAGGAACAATCTAAGGTCTATGATTAAATTAGGTGCAGTACTTCCAAAGAGTGTGATACCAAACAGTAACTTATTATTTTAAACAGAGTTAGGGGCGCCTGGGTGGCTCAGTCGTTAAACATCTGCCTTCAGCTCAGGTCATGATCCCAGGGTCCTGGGATCGAACCCCACATCAGGCTCCCTGCTCGGCAGGAAGCCTGCTTCTCCCTTTCTCACTCCCCCTGCTTGTGTTCCCTCTCTCGCTATGTCTCTGTCAAATAAATAAAATCTTAAAAAAAAAAAAATAAAGAGTTGTATTTACTAGCATAAAAACACCTCGAATCTACAGAAGTATATTGTGGTGTTTACACTAAATGACCCTACTACGTGCATGTTTTAAATAAGTTAGATAAATCTCACAAACATAACATTGAACAAATCAAGAGACACACATGAAGAAGTATACACTGGATGAACTGTAGTTATTTAAGGTTCAAGTACACACAAAATAAACCTTATGAATAAAGATCTTTTTTAATTCTCAGGAAGACTTTTTTTTCCTCTTTCACAGTATCCGTAAGACCTACAGACCTACACTGCAATATTCTTCGTGTAAGAGCTCTGGGAGTAGCTCGTAAGAAAATAAAGCTTGTCGTTTTAAAAATAAAATGCTGAAAAGCCTCCTCATATACGGTCATAAGCTAAGAATTCAGCATAGAACATACAGTCTCAGACATGGAGACAACCCATGTTGAAACACAACAGCTGGAAGTCGGTCACCTTTCTCAAGAACCTGACATCACCTCCTTAAAATATCAAATATACCCAAAAAACCACAGCGAGACCATCTCAAAAAAATTCTGGGCAATTAGTTACCCAGAGATTCGCAGTCTGCAAAGAGGTGTGTCTCTGGGAGTCCAGCAAACCGCAGCAGAAAGCAGTCTTCAGTGAGACCCATGCAGTATTCATGAGGACAAATGGGAGCACAGAGAGGCCAGAGAGTGATGGGAAGGACACAGATGGGTTTGTTACAAGCAGCTCTGAGGCCCCACCCCGAGCCTCCTGATATTAAACCAAACTCAGCATAACTTACTCCATGGCTAATTCATCCCACTGGTGACTGTGAGCATGAGGTGCAGGGGAGAGGTGACAAGGGGGAGCTTCTGCAAGCCCTAACTGCCTTCCTGAGTCACACGTGCCCAATTCGGTCATAGCTCCGGAGCTCCTACTGGGATCTTATACAGGTCATTTGGCTCCACATCACACCCAATGCAGAAACCCACTTTCTTGCTCTTCCTGCAATGGGAGGAAGAAGCGAAGTTACACAGGGCAAGGGTTTAGAGAAGGCAAGCTCACCTCCTGCCTTCTCTGCACTGGGAAAATTCTAGACAAAACCTCACACAACAGGGACCTAATGATCTTAGTTTCACTGGGATTTTGGTAATCAATAGCATTTTTCTTTAATTAGGAAAATTCCAAATCAAATATTTTAGATTTCTAAACCTAATTTCCTTAATAAATTAATCTTGAAGTAAAAACGTTTCATATTTCTAAATCAAAGATTTCTGTTAAACAAAGCAGCAGATAAAGGAAAATCAAACAACAGAGCTGGGAGAAGAGGACGCAGTGAGACATAACACATTTATCACACACTTAGACAACTTGAGGCAAGTGGTATTTCTTCTCCGGGCTTCAGTATTATAAGCAAAAAGAGGCATTTGGTGATCTCAAAAGATTCTTTCCAGCTCTAAAATGCTGTGGTTCTAAGGTACTCCTGTAATTTCTCCTAGAAATACTAACCAAAGGCAGTAATTCATTTTATTGCTTCCAGTAACACACTCAGAGGACTTCAGATTCTCATAGATTCAAATGAAATTCTGTTCCAAGTATGCTAGTTTTGAATATGTCATTAAAATTTTCCTAGAAACACACCATTCAAACCTCTACAATCCAACCGGCATCTGCAGATTCTCCTCCTTTCTTCCTATAAAACTGGAGGAAGTCTCCCTCTCTTAATCAAAGGCCCAGCGATACCCCTGGGTGTGCTGGGGGTGCCACTTCTTTCCAGGCACCTCATCCATCACTGATCCTCCCTCTCTACTGTATCTTTTTTTTTTAAGATTTTATTTATTTATTTGAGAGAGAGAGAATGAGAGAGAGAGAGCATGAGAGGGAAGAGGGTCAGAGGGAGAAGCAGACTCCCCACCGAGCAGGGAGCCCGATGTGGGACTCGATCTCGGGACTCCGGGATCGTGACCTGAGCCGAAGGCAGTCACTTAACCAACTGAGCCACCCAGGCGCCCTCTCTACTGTATCTTTAACCTATTCCTTGAGTCTAGCTCAGTTTAGTCAGATAAATACCCCAGACCCTGCCATCTTGAAAAAAAGAAAATAAACAAAATCCTCCCAAGACCCAACACTTCTCCAGCATCAGGCTGACATCTGTGCTCTCCTCCAACTTCCAACCTCTTCAAAGAATGGTCACGTCCAACCCGTTCTTAGCCACCTCCAATCCATTCTTACAAAGTAGCCAGAGGGGTCTTCCCAAGCTACAGATCCAACCTCACCCTCGTTCTTAATGAGAACAGCCTGTCCTCATGAGCCCCCTGGCACTTGTCCCTGTGGACATCATTAACTAGTCTCACCTCCTACCACACATACACTGCATCTGGAGAAGGACAACTGGCCTTTTCCCTAAACATGCCAATGTCTTTCCATCTCAGGGAGTCTACTTCCCTCAGCTAGAAGGCTCCCTCTCCCCACCACCACACTTCCTGCTGCCAGGCCAATTCCTATCCTTCAGGTCTACTTTAATCCTGACAGCCTCCTGGAAGCCTTTGGTTGTCAGCTGTCATTTCGGTTTCTTAGCAGCCAAGCAGTATGCCACTGTACCAGTATTTCAATCAACTATTTGTCACACTGGCGGGTGGAAAGGGAGAGCTTCTTGTTTTGAAAGTGTGCTCTGTGCTTTCTCAAACGGGAAAGAGGTTGTTTACAGATAAGCACTTAGGATGGCATTGCATTCAATCTGCAATCTAATCTACAAAGCAGTCCTGTGCTAAGGTCATAAGTTTCTGATTTAACCAAAGCTCACTCGGTAAGTATGGGCCATAAGCCTTAAACCTGTCTATGCCCTTTAACCTAGTAATTCCACCTCTATGAAGTTATCCTACAAAAGTAAGACACACACAGAAAAAAATTTCAGAGGCGTTCATGGCAGCAATATCTATACAGCAAAGAAGAAAAAAAAAGTAAGCATCACGACTCTCGATCTCGGGGTAGTGAGTTCAAGTCCCATGATCGGCGTACAGATTACTTAAAAATAAAAAGATCCTTAAAAAAGGCGGGGGGGGGACATCAAAAAGCCTTTGTTGCCACAAAAGAGCAGCTCTGCCAAATTCAAAACTGGTACAGCAAGTGAACATCAGCTAAACAAGATAGAGGTTGAGCTCCATCACACAGAAATGCTACCTTAAAAATGCTTTAAGTTCTGATGCATCAACCTTTGAAATTCACGATGATTGTAACTGACCTTGAAACTAAGGGATCCAGAAGGAACCCCTTGAAGGTAAGAGGTGTTAGTGGGCTTTTTCCGCCATCTTGGAGTCTGTGGAGGCCTGCTGGGAACAGGACTCCTATAACGCCAAATAATGTCTGGAAGGCTGTGGTCCAAGGCCCTTTTTGCTGGCTATAAGCGGGGTCTCCGGAACCAGAGGGAGCATACAGCTCTTCTTAAAATCGAAGGTGTTTATGCTCGAGATGAAACAGAATTCTATCTAGGCAAGAGATGTGCTTATGTGTACAAAGCAAAGAACAACACAGTGACTCCTGGTGGCAAACCAAACAAAACCAGAGTAATCTGGGGAAAAGTAACTCGTGCTCATGGAAACAGTGGCATGGTTCATGCCGAATTCCAAAGCAACCTTCCTGCTAAAGCCATTGGCCACAGAATCCGTGTGATGCTGTACCCCTCAAGGATTTAATGAAGAGTAAATAAAGGTGTAGATTTGTTCTCTTGAAAAAAAAAAAGAGGTGTTAGTGGGCCCCCACAGATATGTGAGGCCTCCTCGATTCATGGAGGCACTATGGGCCTGGGAGGCAGAAGTCCTGGGTTCTAACTCTAAAATCTGTTGAGAACTCACTATATGATTAGGTAGTCACTTCATTTCTCTGGGCTTAAGCTTCCTTAACCGTAAGACAACAAAGTCACAAAAAACACTTCCAATTTTACAATTATACTATCAATCATCAGCTCTCCACAATAGGCACTAGAGTAAAAAGACCACAATTTAAATTACAGGTCCACCCCTCTTTGGGTTGGGAGCCCTTGGACTAGCGACCCCACCCCTCCGAGCCTCCGTCTCCTCCTCAGCTTCCCAGGGCTGCTCCAGAACACTGTGGAAACATTCCATGAGACACACGGTACACTAACAGCTCTTCTCCTCCCGAGGCATTCCTGGAAGCTGCCAGGCCTGGTGGAACTGTACAGCTGCTGAACAGATACAAGGAAAGGCACCGGGTCAGAGACTGCCGACCAACTTCAGGCCCTACACTGAACTGAATGAAGTGTGGGAAGAGTGAAACAGTAAAGCTTCAACTTTTCATCCGGGGGAGAAAGAGCTACCATTGCTTGGGTGTTTGCTGTATCCCAGGCACTGCTAAGAATTTTATATGCATTATCTAATGTAATCCTTTCAATGATGCTGGGGGGTTAGTACTATTCTCGTCTCATTCTTACAGATGAGGAAGCTCGGAAGTTAAAGAACTTGCTGAGGTCACAAAGGCAGAGCTGGGGCTCAGCTTGCGTTTTTAGCTCTGCAACACTGGCCTCTTGTTTAAAACAAAAACCAAACTGGGGCGCCTGGGTGGCTCAGTTGGTTAAGCGTCTGCCTTCAGCTCAGGTCATGATCCCAGGGTCCTAGGATTGAGCCCCATAACGGCTCCTTGCTCAGTGGGGAGCCTGCTTCTCCCTCTGCTCGTGCTCTCTCTCTCTCTCTCTCAAATAATCTTTAAAAAAAAAAATAAACCAAAGAACAAAATCATTAGTGTAAATTCAGGGGTTCTAGAATGTACAGCATAGACCTTATACATTGTGTTTCTTGCTTCTTAGTAAATAGCAACTACTATACACTTTCTTCCTCTTCCTAGATCTCAAGCAGACAACTCCTAACCTTAAAGGAAAATAAACTGGAGATCATTTCAAAGGCACAGAAATTCGGAAATAACATCCTATGATATTTGAGCTTTTCAAGACACCTAAGGAAGCAGGATCGTATGTATACCCACACACCATCCTTACAGCAAAAATTACAAACCAGGGGGGAAAAAACTTTTATAAACACATCCAAGTCCACTTCTGAGCTTGTTTTGTCAAGTAATAGTTATGAGTAATAAACTCAATATTCCTTTGGCTAAACTGGTAGAATCAGAACCGATCGCTGCAAACTTATGCTCATACTATGCTCAAAAGACATAGCCAGTTTCTAATTTGTTCCATGGTCACACATAAACCGAACACTAGAAAAGCTGACTAATTTCTCTATAAATGAGTGATCCCTCTAGAACAGACTCCAAGCCTGTAGTGTGCATTTCAACCATTCATCAGTTCAACACAATGACCTCCAAAGGTTTCTGGACTCACCAATACTCTGTCTCCAATTTTGAGCTCTCTTTCTCCTTTCTTGATGGAACCGGCCTCTGAGAGGTTGGAGATAGATTCACTGGCAGTTTTTGTAAGGTTGCTGATCTGAGACGTAGCTGAAGGTTCCTTTGCTGTTGGCTGGGTTGATTTATGGGGGATATTTGAAGGGGCTGCTAGGGAGGGGGTCATCATGCTGGCTGTGGAGGTGGACAGAGGCGAAGTCGCTCTCGAAGCAGGCGTTGTCTGCAGGCCGTTAGCTTCATCTTCCACCTGCACCTTCCTTGTCAGCTTCGAAGGGCGCGTGAATATGCCCTTTAGAGGCTCACACTGGAAATACCGAACTCCTGCCACCGAACCATCATTCTTGCCTATGGGTTCATCTAAAACAATCCCGGCCCACTGGCCTGGTGCAAACTGGGTTTCTCCCAGAAACTGGATGAATCCAGGCTTATTCCCATTCACCCAAACTCTCTCCCCGACTCGAAAGTCATCCACAAATTCCTCTTGTGCCTCAGAGGATGGCGTGTTTGATGCTTTCTCACTGGATGTTGTTTTTTCTACTGGAGCTACAACTGCAAACAGAAGAAAGGATCAGAAAAGACTCAATTTCATTTTCAAGCCGACAACTCCTAACTTAAAAGAAAATAAACTGGAGAAAGCCCGAAGCAACAGAAGCAGTCGCAGCTCTTTTAAGGTATTCTGTCCATCTGTCTTTCTGCGGCCCTTTTTTTTTTTTTTTTTAAAGCAAGGAGGCCAAAAGTACTTGACCCATCAGGGCACCTGGCTGGCTCAGTGGGAAGAGCACACAACTCTTGATCTCAGGGTCATGAGTTCGAGCCCCACGTTGGATGTAGAGATCACTTAAATCAATAAAACTTAAAAAAAAAAAAAAAAAAGGACTCAGCCCAAGACTACCATTTTCAATGCTGTCGAAGCTCAGTGAGCCAGTAGGATTTAATTCTTACTAGCAATTAAGACTGGAAAAAGTCAAAGCAAAGGGGGAAAAAAGTCCTTTTCCCAGAGTTCATAACACAGGTCTGATTTCATTCTTTCCTCCACCCCCCACCGTGCACATCAGGAGCAAACACCTTTCAGATCCCCCGGAGCTGGGCTCTATTCCCACATGGGAGTAGTCAGGGAAGGCTGACAAGTCCAGGACCTTGGAACCAGAGATTCGCAATCAGGCTTGGAGGAGGAGGCGATTCAGTGCTACAGCCCTGTCATCTCACTCCAAGACCACCAAATAAACCCTATTCCTTTGGTGATAAAAATCACAACAAGGGGGAAAAGATAGCACCTGGCCCAACTCCCTGTGAGGAAGGGGCAATCTCTACCTTGCGGTAAAAGCAGAAGTTATATTTTGCCAGAAATGTGATATTTACACCAGAAACTCAAGCATTCAACCAGCATTTATTAAATATTTGGTATGAACTGGCAAAGAGCCCACATTCTTAAGCACTCTACCATTTATTAGGCATATTGTTTTGTTTTAAAGATTTTATTTATTGACAGAGACAGACATAGTGAGAGAGGGAACACAAGCAGGGGGAGTGGGGGAGGGAGAAGCAGGCTTCCCGCTGAGTAGGGAGCCCGATGTGGGGCTCGATCCCAGGACCCTGGGATCATGACCTGAGCTGAAGGCAGACGCTTAACCGACTGAGCCACCCAGGGATCCCCTTATTAGGCATATTGTGATCTTAGATGTTACATGACCTCTTTGAGTTCAATTTCTTCATGTGTAAGGGGAAAGTAGTATCTACCTTAAGAGTTTTATTAAATGAGGGCGCCTGGGTGGCTCAGTTGGTTAAGCGACTGCCTTCGGCTCAGGTCATGATCCTGGAGTCCTGGGATCGAGTCCCACATCGGGCTCCCTGCTCAGCAGGGAGTCTGCTTCTCCCTCTGACCCTCTTCCTTCTCGTGCTTTCTATCTCTCATTCTCTCTCTCAAATAAATAAATAAAATCTTTAAAAAAAAAAAGAGTTTTATTAAATGAAATAATGTATTGATTCATGCTCCCCCTTTCTATGAGTTTCTACCACTCTGGCAGTAGTCCCAGGCATTGTTCTCACTAGTGGACAAATCAAGACAGCATAGTCCATGCCCTTTTAGAGCCCAGAGCCTAGAGGTGTGGACACAGACAGTCAAGAGACACACCAGGTAATTTCAGGTGATGTAAGTGCTGTGGAGGAGACAGTGCCTTCAGGCAGAGCAGTCAGGGAAGGCCTCCTGGAGGAGGTAACATCTGGCCTAAGGCCTGATCAACAGAAAGCGTGAACTACAGGTAGAAAGGGAAACAAGAGTGGTCTGGCCAACCTACAAGGCGCACTGAACATCCCTTTACCCTACCTAGAAGGAGAGACTGGCGTTTCGATTTGTGGAGGGTTTTTTGGTTCTGTTTTTTGTTTTTTAGAAGACAATAAATGCTCTCAAATCAAACAGATAATAATCTGCCAAAGACAGACCAGCCCAGTCAGTTTTTTAGAATCTATTCCAGCTTTGTACATGAACAATTCTTCCTGACAGGGTGCTGCAAGCGTGAGTTTCCAACAAACAATCTTCATAAAAGTGCTCAAACGGGCAACAATTTCCTTTTAAGCATCTAACTTTTAGTGTTTATAAGCTGTTTCATTCTCAAAAAAAAAAAAACACACATGTAATGTGTGGCAAGTATACTGTTGAGGAAACCAAGTCGAATTTCTCATGATCCCCTGCACTCAAGGACTTTACATCCTAAGGGGTGTGCGTAAAAAATGCTAAAAGTGAAAAAGACAATTCTAAAATGCGGGGCGTGAGTGTGACCATGGGAGGGTGCGAGGAAGGGGCGACATCTGAAGGGGTCCTAAAGAGAGGAAGGATTTTGAAGAGAAGGAGAATAGGAGACACCTGAGTAAAGCTTTCCTCTCCTCTAAGATGTTTTATGGTCTCCCTGATAAGACCCTGGTTTTATCCTGATACACAAAATGTAAATAATTTGGGATCTTCATTCAATCAACAAATGTTTAATGAGCTCCTGTTATGATCCAGGCAATGTTCTAGGTATGTAGGTAAATTTGGGCAGTGAAAAAAAAAATGACAAAGATCCCTGCCATCACGGAAGATCAATGAGGTTTTATGGAAAAATCTGAAGTTGGATTTAATATTTTGTGGTGGACACCTATCTGGAATGGCTGATAACCTATCTAATAGCATATAAACCACATGAAAAGACCAGAAAAGCAAGCATCAGACGCCCTCTCCTGACTCTCTTATTTAAGACCGTTAAGTGGTCATTCTGGGCTGTAACCTGAAACGGTGAAGGAGGAGACAGAGAGCAGAGGGGAAGAGACTGCTGAAGATCATCAAGGCCACGGGTTCATCTATGAAGTGAGGACGGCTTCCTGCATGAGCTAGACTCGAGCCATCGTACTCCCTGCTCCCTTGAAACCAATGGCCAACTTCTGATTGCTTAGTATCATCAAATCTTTTAGGCCAGACTCGTCTTTGTTTTCTCTACACATCCCTAAACCCCAAAGAGAAAGGTCCAGATGAGTTAGAAGACACAGAGAAAAAATATTGTAACATTGTAAGGATTAAATACTGAAGTTACTTGACAACTATTTTAGCACCTTGCACTAAATTAACTAAGAGCTCTTCATTAAGATTTTTAGATATAGGAGGCGCCTGGGTGGCTCAGTCAGTTGAGCAGCCAACTCTTGATTCTCGCTCAGGTCATGATCTCAGGGTCCTGAGATCAAGCCCTGTGTTGGGGGGGGGGGTCCGCACTCAGTGGGGAGTCTGCCACAGGATTCTCTCTCCCCCTATGCCTCTCCCCCAACCCCCTTAAATAAATAGATCTTAGAAAAATATTTTTAGGTATAAAATTCTGTATTTTTAAAAAAGATTTATTTAATTATTTTAAAGAGAGAGCAAGAGAGAGTGAGCAGGGGGAGGGGCAGGGGAGAGGGACAGACAGACTCCCCACTGAGCACACAGCCCTACACGGGCCTGGATCTCAGGACCCTGAGATCATGACCTGAGCCGAAACCAAGAGTCGAATGCCTACTCAACTGTGCCACCCAGGTGCCCCTAAAATTCCATGTCTTTTAATTAAAGCTTCTTCAAATATTTTCAAAAATATGAAGTTGTTTAAGGCTGTCTTTTTAAAGTTTTCAAATAGGATTCTAATTTAGATATAAATCATAAAGCCTTACCAGCAGCAGGTGTCTTCAAGGCTGTGCTTCCAGGCTTTAGGATCTTGGTAGGGGCCTTAAGCCCACTTGGTTTTAGCATACTCATTGTCCTCAGTATGTCGGGGCTGTTTTTCCTTTGCCTGTTGCCACTATCTTGCCCCAACCATTGATACAACTGTGGGTGTTTCTATGGTGAAGTCAGTCTCTGGGTTAAATCTGCAAGAGAAAAATATAAACAGAATTTAGAATCTATGGGAGGAAGACAGTAGAAATAACACCTATTATTAAAGCAGCTTTCACAAGCTAAACTTTTCCTCATACATGATGACAAACTGTCTCCACACTGAACCTAGGAAACTAGATAAAAACAGGAAGATGCTGCTGAGATGCATTTAGAAGCAATTTATTACCCCTAAAAACAAGCAGCTGAGCCTAGCAATACATTCACTTCTCTTTACCTAATATTACCAGCTCGGTACAGTGCCTAAAATCCACACAGTCCACATAAGGGGGTTCCAAAAAATGTAACCCCAAACTTAATGGTGGGAG